TAATTTTTTTGATTGATTTGATTGGTTAATTATCACGGGAAATCACGGGTAGATCTACCAATCATACGAATGTCGTCCTATGAGGTTATGGGTATGTCGATAGCCCGGGTGGACAACCCAGATATCGAAGATGAGTGCGACTGAACAGCTCGGATATCAAATAAGGGAATAGAGTAGGATAGACCGACGATGCTAGGAAAGAGCTGTTGACCACGTGAGCAGCGAGGCGATATCCCATATGTGTATTCCATAGTATTCGTTTGTTGTAGTGTTTGATGTATTGTATGATTGACAAATATAAGGTATCGATCCCAAAGGGAAAGTGTCTAGAACTTTGACCCGCAAAATCTTGAGACTTTCTTAGTGAATAAACTGTTATCTGTGCGTACACATTGTCGGTGGAAGGACCACGGCCTACGTGAATTAGCCAAGCGAGCGCGAAGCACGATATTCCGTGACAATACTTTCTTAAAATAGGAAAAAATATAGGGCACCAAAAAATTGAAGAACCATACAGTATAATAAAATTATCGAAAAGCTAATATTATCAATTTATCAACATTTGTTTATACGCTTTCATAATTCTATTTAAAACCAGCCTTACATGTCGAATATTCTTTTATTTTCATTAAAAAGAGTAAATTTAAAATCTTAAAAATGTTCAATTCAAATTATCAACATCACTTAATTATCACATTTCTGCTATATTTCATTGAAATCGGAAATAAATTTACTTAGCTCGTGAATCAGAGTCATAATTATTCGATTTATTAGAGTCATTCGAGTTACGAAGTGAAAAATATTGTAAATAAATTAAATTAGCGAGCAACTCGCGAGTTAAAATTTCATGATTCGATCGTGATAAACTCGAGTTTTTCGAGTCACGAGCTGACGAGTCTAGTCACTACTCGTCAGCAACCTCAACCGGGCAGCTTCACCGCCCAGATGCCAACCTCTAGTTAAAAATAATAATAATGAAATATCAACATAATCAAATAAAAAAAAAGGCTAATTAAATGTTTGGAACTTCAATATTTTCTATAGGTTTACTACCAATATTTAATTTCAATTTTTTTGTAATTTCTTGCGTGTTGAAGGGCTTACTCGTGTATATTTGATCCGAGTGCCTTTTCATCTTGGGATTTGGTTTGATCTTGTCGGCGTTCAAAAATTGATTTTTAATCTCATTTCCATCCGAATCTTTCACGTATTTATTCCATTTGTCAAATTTATCCGAGATATCAGCAGCAGTAGGCCTTTTTTGTGGATCTGAATCCATGCATTGTTTAGCCAATTCGACGTAACATTTAGGAGTCCCAGAAGCAAAATCAGGTCGTAATCCATTGCAAATCTTTATTGCAAGGTCAATATCAAATTTGTGACTGTCAAAAGATCTTCTTCCTGTTGATACTTCAGTCATAATAACTCCAAAGGAGTAAATATCTGCTGCTTTCGTAAAATTTTGACCTTGTAAAACTTCGGGCGCGACATAAGGTAAAACACCACATTTCTTTTTAGAATTTGAAAGACCCAAATCGGCAATATACGCACTATGTAGATTTTCTTGCAAAATATTTCCACTATGTAAATCCTGATGAATTAAATCTAACGAATGAATCATATTAATGTCAGAAGCAATGCATTGTAAAAGATTTAACTTTTTTTTCCATTCCATTTTCGATACATTATCAAGGTTGTCGTGTAAAGAGCCCATATTGGCATATTTCAACACAAGAATATAATCGTCGTTTATATTTTTAGCCCTTGATACACCATAACATTTCAAAAAAGATGGGTTTTTGTATCCAATTTCACAGTATGCCTTTAACTAATTGAAATAAATTAATAAAGTAAAAAATTTAAAAAATAAGAGATATTAAAATAAATCACCTCATCAATAAATTCTTGTTGACTCTTTTTTGATCCATGAATTAATTTTAATGCAACAGATATTCTACTAAAATAACGATTATGTCGAATTTCCAATTCAGCTTTATAAACAGTTGCAAAACCCCCTTTTCCAATCATTTTCATATCTTTAAACTCATAATATGGTATCCATGATAGCTGATATCTCTCGTCTTTCAATATTTTTTCTAAATTAATATCAATTCCCGAATATAAACTATCATTAGTTTTTATATTATATGTAAATGCGGAAATTAAGTGTACGCTTCTGTGTTTAAACTTTTCTAAATAATTTCTTTTGATTAATTATCGTTCTTAAGAATACAATGTTAATTGAAATTACATACCTGAATTTTTATTCCTTTCCCTATTATGCATTAAATCATGTTAATATAATAATATAAAATATATAACGAAAATTGAATACAAGACTACTCACATTCTAAACCAATAATCAGCTTTCTGTAAATCCCTTTCTACTCCTGTTCCGTTTCGATAACAGTAACCAACTTCATTCATTCCTTCGGCATGATCCATCTCAGCTGATCTCAGATAATATTCGAAAGCTTTCTTTTCATCTTTTTCTATTCCAAATCCGAATTGATAACAATAACCAACATTATTTATTCCTAAAACATGATCTAAGTCGGCTGCTTTTGAATACCATTCAAATGCTTTATTCTCATCCTTTCCTACCCAAATTCCATCTTGAAAACAATGCCCAACGTTAAACGCAGGTTTGGTTTCATAATTCTGTAGTGAAAACAACGAGTCCGTTTAGGAAGATCAAAACGACGAAGAATAAAAATTCTAGGTCCAATTCCTTTTTCATAACCATTATACCGATAAGTCGTACTTCTGTTACTCATCTTTCTAGCATATTCATTAAAATATTCATCAGCTTTATGCATATTCTCATATGTACCAATTCCTTCAGCATAACAATATCCAACATTATATACTCCTTTAGCATCATCCATGTTGGCGGATTTTTTATAGTATTCGAAGGCTTGACGTTCATTCTTTTCGACCCCGATTCCTATTTGATAACAACGACCGACTTCATTCACTCTAGGAACATGATCCATTTCAGCTGATTTCAGGTAATACTCGAATGCTTTACATTCATCTTTTTCGACACCGATTCCTTTTTCATAACAATCTCCGGTAATTTTCATTCCAGCAGCATGGCCAATTTCCGCTGATTGTAAATACATTTCAAAAGCCTTCTTATCATCTTTTTTTAATTTTATTCCATTTTGATAACGGTTCCCTAATTCAAATAAATCATTAGCGGCCCATTTAATATAATTTTCAAATGCTTTACGTTTATCTATTTCATCTGTTTCCCAGGTGCAGTCGGATTTCCTTTGGCTCATTGTTACGGAACGAAGTTAAAAATATTTTAAAATGGCAAACGAATAAAAAAAATATATTATATACAGTATATAAAAGACTTAAGTTTTTGAGCCTACAGATGTCAAACTACAGAAAGCTATTCTATAGGCACTAATGTAAACGCGGACACGCAGCCCATAGACGATGCTAGTACACAAGACACTAGCAATCTCGATATTGTTCAAACATCAGACGCATTGTGTAATACTTCAACGAGATTAAAAGGTATCATAAAATAAGCCAAATTGTATTAATGGCAACTACTCATGCATACACATCCTTCGAATAAATAGATAAATTTCTTAAATTATCGATTTCAATAAAGTGAAGAATCTAGAAATAATACACTAAGAATAATATGTACTTATTAACATATTAAAATAAACCGTTGACCATAAGTGATTGAGGTTTCCTGTCGCATTGCATTAAGTCAATATTTTTTCGGTTGAACTATAGTTAGGAATTATTATATATAAAATTATAATACGTAGACAAAATTGGCTAATTTAAACTACGTAATTTAAGTTATAGATAATTATATACGTAGTTTTTTGGGTGAATTGTATCCTTTTAATATGATAAACACGAAAATGTATAATTTTAGGTGATAAGGCAACTCGCCAGAGGCGTGACGATGGTGATTTGACAATAGTTTATTTTAAAACAATATTATCAAGGTGATTGATTCAAGGTATTATGTAGGAAATATTACAATCCCGTAGGATAGATATCCTTTACAAGAGGGAAATTACAAAGCTTTTATAACTTTCACTAAACTAATAATAAAGAGGCTTAAGGGTAAATCGGATCTTTCATCACGAAAGAATCAAGGAAAAGATCACCATAACTAAGGGGCTTACAATGATAAGTACAACATGATTATAATAATGAAGGCTTTGCCTTTATAATATTTAATATTATAACTACTTCTAATTAATTCTTGATCTTGTTTTCTTCTCTTTAGATCTTCGTTTGTTCTTTTAGGAATTCTTCTTCGGATTTCGCGTAGGTTATCATTTCCGTTATTTAGCCGGTAAGCCTCATGTACTAGTTGATCTGGAATTCCGATGATCGATCTGCTTAATGTCATGAGTTTACTGCGCCGATTCGTCGATCTCCTATTTGACAATAAATGAACATTATTTTTAAAATTCGTACGTAACACAACTCATAAGACTATTGGCGCTTAGAGAGCTTTTAGAAATACTATTTAAGCAACCAAAAATGTCTTATAACTTGCCAAACTAAGTCAAGGGTAAAATTTATACCTTATTTTATACTTCAAGCTTATCATGGACTTCCCGTTTTTTATTTATGCTACGTGAATTTTTTTCTTTTCAGTATTATTTATTATTTATTATTCATTATTCATGAATGTGCATATTTTCACTTCGCATGCAGAAAGTACAAAAATTAATTTCCGCCTAAAAAAAAAAATAAAAATGCAGATAAACGCAAGAGTATATAACATAAGCGTTCCTTTATGCTGTGAATGCGAGAATAGTGACCAATTAAATCCCCTGTACGTATACTATACGAAAACTTTGAATCTATTAATGTGCAGTAACTGCATAGTAACTATGTAGCTACGATTAAATTTAATAGTAATTATGTAATTACTACGTCGTTACTATGCAGTTACTGTATCTTAAGGTATTAAAGTTTCTGTAAAGTATGAGTGCTGCCGAAAGAAATCTTTATGCCATACTTTTTGTGCATTTACTTAATCATTCATTATTTCAATATCATTTGAATCGTCTTTATGAGACGATTCGAACAATTTTAAAATCTTAGGTTTCAGTTACTTGATTTTAAGAAAAGTAAATATTTAAAAAAGCATCTTTCCCTTGGCGTCATTCCTTGTCTTTAGTTCCTTCGTAATATAAAAGGTGCCTCACTCGGGATAATTCGGAAAACAAGTGTTCAATTGCAGATAAGCTTGAAACTGCTTAAAAAATTCCTTGAAGTGTCAACCCGCCTTAGCCTTAATTATTCTTAAATTATAAATACCACCAAAAATTTTCCTTAACACAATATACATAACTTCTTTTTCCCTTGTAATTGGATTACTATCGCTATCATCAATATGAGTAATAAGACATTCGTATTCGATGGAGATAAAAAAGAAAGCAAAACAATATTGGGACTCTTGGAATACTTCGGGATTAACCGATCTATCGATGTCAAGTTAAATTATTTCAACGACATTGACACCATTTCTCAACGTGTTATTGATGAATACAAACTTGATGTTAAACTAAATGATCTAAGGCTCAACGCGTCTCTTATGCCCGACTCTCACAATTCCTCTGGCATTCAAGCTTACTATTATTTCGCTTTTATTTTCGACGACTTGATGATTTTCAGAGGACTAGACTACATTGATCTTATCAAAGGTCTAGAAGGTAGAGAGAATAGCTTACCACCTCTGGTATCCGAGATGCTATCTCTTTTCATGAATCACTGGAAGAAAGATTTTAAAGACAAATATACTTTATTACGAACTGAAGCGATTACATGGGCGACCGCTGTGAATCAACAATTACAAGTATCGTTCAATCAGAACGAATACTTCATCTTTAAGCTCAAATGTCACGCATCCTACCTAACCCTCGTTCTGATGTTTCTGTTGAGAGATGTCAATTGCACTTACTTGGAATACCGAACATTGCAAACTACATTCGAAATGTTTATGTTCTATATCAATGAACTCGCTTCATGTCTTCGTGAGAAGGATGTTGGAGAACTTACATCGGTAGATAAATTGTTCAATACAGGTGATTTCTCTAGAATCTCCGAGTACTGCACCCAACAGATATATAAAACGATGAAAGAGTTCGAGGGCAAGTGCAATCTTATGGTATCATTAGAATTTCTGAGGTTATGCAAGAATACTGTGTTTGTACATTTAGCGTCAGATAGATACGAAAAGTTTTTCTTTGAAAAGAATATGTCTTAATATAGAATACAGTACAAGCAGTATAAACTAATGCTTTAAACTATAATTTAACCTTTTATTTTCTATATCAATTTAAAGTTTATATCACTATAATTTAACTTTTTATTTTTATATCAATTTAAAGTTTATATCAGCATTTATTAAAAATCTTGCTAATCATAATAGACACTGAGTTGCAAATCAATAAAATCCGATTTTACTATTTATATTTATAACCAAATCTGAGTTTATTAAGATGAAATGTGCTATACTAATACAGATTTAAGTTTTGAACCACTGGAATATACCAAAAGTTAATTTGATTAAGTGAGAATGCAAAAAAAAAAAAAAAAAAAACTACATTTTTGAATCGATGTACGTACTGTACGTACGTACGTACATACAATTAACCATAGCTGCCGCAACAAAATTGTCCCGCATATCGGAAATGTGTGCTAGGTTTGTGGCGCAGCAAAAATCTTCAATGTTCGTTTATATTAGGGTTGGGTCCAGGGTTACGGGCTAAAGTAGAATAGATTATATAGTAAAATTGTCCAACGAAAACTTTTTGTTAGAGCGCCAAAGAAGGTTTCTTATGTAGAATTTTGAGTAGTAAGCGATTTTTGACAAAACGGACGTTTGTTTTGATCCTTCCTGATCGTGTTACGTTACACCTGATCTTGAAATCTGATTCGTAGTTTATGTGTCTGCGCCACAAACCTGGCACACATTTCTGATATGCCGTCATGTCGGCATCACTAGTAACTATCTACCTAAAATAAATGAAATCTTTTTTAATTCTATGTACTCATATATTAAAATAAAAATTTTATCGATTTTATATAGGTAATTATAAAGATATTTTCGCCCAAATTTGGAAAAAAATATAGTAATAAAATCATCTTAATACTGTATGTACTGTATCAAACTCCCTTAATCTATATCCAAGTTCCATAACGCACTCTACCTTCGTTATAGCAGACCATTAAAACGGATCGATCGCTATAATGTAATTCTGTAACAATTTAATTTAACTATATGAAATCATAATGGATATTCATTATAATATGTTATAACGAGGGTAAAATATACAATTTTAATTTAATTAAAAATACTGTAATAAAATAAGAGAATTGCTATTTCCACCCCCCACTTTTGCTAATGTCACCCAAAATTTAAAAAGTGCTCTGGAAGAGGTATTTTGGCTGATCTTTAGTATAACTGGGCAATATAGAATTATTATTAGATTATAATATATAAACATAGTATTTGAACTAATTTAAGCAAATTTGAGATTAGTTAGGGTTAGTTAAGGGTTATAGTAAAGTTTATAGTTAGCTCTAGGGTTAGGGTTAGAGTTTTTTTATATTATAATTTTATAATATTTCTATATTGCCCAGCTATACTAAAGAAGATCCAAAATCATTAAAATCTGACCAATAGTATTTTTTTTAAAAGTAAATGAAAGTTAACTAACTTCGGATACATACTGTATATCTTAGAAACTACTAGTCCGACTTTAATGATTTTACT